AGGTGCCCCTACAGATAGTTTTTTAAAGTAAGCGTGTCCCATGCAATATTTGGGACATACACTAAAAAGCATTCGTTGCTTATCTGAACTTCAAATTTACCTGGACATCCTATATTTTGCCAGCAACCCTGCCTTGTAACCTTCCTATCCCAGGGGACCCGAACACCGCTTCTCTAACCAACCCGCCAGCAACTCCTGTTAGCTCTACCTTCAGAACAGATCTTAAGTCCCACATGCAAAACACACTGTTATACTGAGGCTGAGGAGGAAATACAGACCTCACGGGTAAGCCCAGAATCTGAATTTAGACCCTTTGCAAAATTATTCATACTTCCCGCTTCAACTGTCCCCATCCCAGTGCAAGAGAAAGGCCAGCCAGAGGTATCCGTCTTACCTGTCCTCCTGCAGCCGGAGAAACAAATTAACTGCTCACCATCTAAACATTTTAGCTCCACGTTTTTTAGTATATCATCTTTATTCATTTCAAAAGCCCCAGCATAAAATTCACTAGTGGATTTAAGGTGAAATGACTTTTCCTCCTTTAGCCCCTCAGTCCCGAAGCCCCACCTTCGCCATCTTGGCACACCTGCTCCTATGCACACGGTCACTGAGAGTCCGCTAGAGTCCGCTAGCGGCGGGCCTTGCAGGTTTGTTTTTACAGTTCGCCCTTGATTTCCTGAGTGCTGCCTGGCTAAGCCATTGTCATTTCAGTCTGCAACGTCAAAAACTCAGCTGGTGGGGCTACATCCCCTGCCTCTACCCGGTACAGGCTTTCCCCACAGCCCCCCAAGGCCAACGCCAGTCATCAGAAACTGGGAATCACAGGAGCTACGTCCGCTTTCCCTGGTGTCGCTGGGCAGGCCCCCAGCCTCTGAGAATCCCCCAGATCTTCTCCACTAGCTGGGAACACACAGCCTGCTCACTCCTCCGGGCTCACACTCAGGTATCCAGCGTTAACACCTCCATGCACAGAAGTGCACCCACTGGGTGAAGGCAGGTGCTCTTTACAGACGGCCCTGGAGTCTCTCCAGGCTAAAACCATCCTGACCTCACAAGGCCACCAGGGGACATATATGGGGTCTCACCTATACTCAGACCCCCCACCAAGTTTCTGCTTTTGACATTCTCCCCCACTGCCTAAGGCCCCCGGGGTCACATCATTCGCCAGGCTGGGGGCCTGATGACCCTCCCCAGAGGTTCTCCACGGACCTGAGTCCCAAGCCGGGACTCCCAGCCTCTCTGGCGCGGCCTACCTGCCTTGCGGAGCAGGCCGATCTGCGAACCGTTGAGGGCCATGTAGTCGCAGTCGGTGATGACCCGGACGCGCACCCCGCGCTGGTGAAGCAGCTGCACTGCGCGCCCCAATTGCGGGCTGGAGAAGGCAAAGAGGCAGAGCTCCAGGCTGGCGCGGGCGGCCAACAGGGCGCTCAGCAGGCGGCTGAGCGAGCTCTCGCCGTGGGGCAGGCTGCACTGGCAGTCCGCTGGCGGCCCCGACGGCCCCTCGCTCGGGGCCTGCAGCAGAGCCTCGGTGCAGGTCACCTGCGACGGGAAGAAGAGCACCTCGCGCCGCAGAGAACTCCGCCACCCTCGCCGTCGCCAGGCCCGCAGCCAGCGCAGCACGGAGGGCAGCGCCTCCAGAGTCAGCGCGAGACCCACGGTCGCCACAGCCGCCACCCGCCAACGTAACCGCTCCATGCAGCCTCGACCTGCCCCGCCGCCCACGGCGCCTGAGCGCTCGCCCTGGGCCACGTGCGCCCGCACCTCCCCACCCACTGCGCCTGCGCACCTCTAGCCACGTGCACTCAGCGCCCCCCACCTCCACTGCCCATCACGC